AGGACCACAGGTCCTGCCTGGACTCTGCACCGACACAAGCTTTCCATGGGGTCACGACCTTCTTCAAGCAGCTGCCTGCTCTGGTGTGGGGTCCACCACAGGTTGCAGGTGGGTATGTGCTCCACTGTGGATCTCCATGGCCTGCAAGAGAACAGTCTTTTCACCATGGTCTTCACTGTGGCCTGCAGAGGAATCTCTGCTCTGACACCTGGAGCACCTCCTCCCCCTCCTTCTTCACCAACATTTGTGTTTGCAGGGTTGCTTCTTTCAGATATTCTCACTCCTCTCTCCTGGCTACTATTGCGCAGCAGTTTTCCTCCTGCTTAAATACGTTATCCCAGAGGCTCTAGCACTGTTGTTGATAGGAGTCCAGAAATGGGTCTGTCCCGGACCCATCTGGCATTGGCTCTGTCAGACATGGGAGAAACTTTTTGCAGCTTCTCACAGAAGCCACTTTTGTAGCCTCTCCACTACAAAAAAACCTTGCCAAGCAAACCCAATACACCTGAAGATCAGGAGTCTGAGATTGCTGGCTTTAGTGGCATGTTGTACTTTTGCAGAAATACTTACCTACAGCATCCTTACCACTTCTTCATTTCATCACAAAGCTTCACAAACTGTGTGGCATATGATATGGAGCTTTGCCAGCCAAACAAATCGTACATGCTCTCATGGTCCCATAGTTCACCAGCAGCCAGGAGGATGGTCCTCAACAAGTCACCTGGCAACTGAGTTTGAAGACTTGCTCCTCAGTGACATTGATTTGTCTGCTGTTGAGCTGACTTGCTTCTACTTATGTCTATTTGCATTTAAGACTTTCTTGGTCTTGCCTTGTAGACTGTGTCTTCCAGGCTTGAGACAGCTGCCCTCAGAACCTACCAAGTCTGTCTCCTTTTTCTTAAAAATGTAACTGAGTTAGGCAAGAATTAGTCTTTGAAAAGCATGAAATGCTACCTGGAAGTTAAACCATCGTCGAGAGTTCAAGCCTCTGTTCTTTCTCTGTGATGTGGAAGAACATCTGCTCTGATGAAGGATCAGAAGGACCAGGAATCTTCCCACGCATCTGCAGAGCCACTGAAGTGGGAGCATCCTGCAGTAAACACAGACACAAATCTTACAAAACCTTGGGTAAAGATCTATTAGTGGTTCACTGACATTTTTATTGAATTGAATCCTGAGCCATCTAGCCAAACACTGGCTTTGACTGAAGAGGGAATATTATCAGCCTGATACCGATTTTGAACTCTGTAATTGAGACTGTATTGGAATTACATAATAATTTTATTGTTGCTATGGCATAGTGTAGGAGGTGCAATTATAGTACCATGTATCAAAAGATGTGCGAAAAAGGAGTCTGCTCCCTCAGATTTATTCTGACTGTCTAATCTTAAGTGCTATTCTCCAACTTCACTGTCACTTATTAAAGAAAAAAACATCAAAGCAATATAGAGTGGGATACTTTCACTGAAAATGGATGTTTCTGTGTGAGCTGCAATTGAGCACCAGGTGTCCTAGCTTGTTTTCAAACGGTCAGCATTTGTTTATGTTTTGATGGCAGTATTTCATGCCATGTCTTGTGAGGGTGGACTGTGTAATTAACGTTTCAGAAACTGCCTGTTGATAAAGTGAAAGTTACAATTCCCTTTTATCTGACTGCTGACTACACTTTGGAGAGTGATACAGTTGCTCAGATAAAGTCCCTAAGAAGTGTTCTTGGGAGGCTGAGTAAAGAGAGATCCATCACTTATGTGGATCCGAAGGAGACAAAATGTACGTTGGATTGGTGGGGACTATGCTGGCAACCCAGGGAGGCAAACAAGCTCCAGTATTTGTGCAGCAGGTGATAAGTTCACATTAGAATTGGACCTTGGGTGTTCACTGTGGCTCAAGGCCTTCATCACTTTGAGTTGATGTTTCAGGGTGACCTCTGGGATTCATATTTGGACAGAGACCACTTCTCCCTTCAAGGTTGTTAATCCTCAACAGCCTCAAGCAGTGAGGTCATATCAATTTATGGCAAGACCTAGGGTGTCCCCTTTGTGTTTTCTACATGAAGATAAAGAGGTGGAAATGTATCCAGTATGCTTTACATCAGCTGTCATTGGGACTACTTGTGCAGAGAATAGTGTGAAGTTTGAGTTATGGAGGTCATTCACTGTTGTCCCCTTCCTGTAGGTACTGGCAATACTCCCACACACTGTCTTGCTTTGGCATGGGGAAGACAGAAGTGTTGAAGAGAGAAGTTGTCTGTGAGCCCCTTTACATCTTCCAAACCAAGAAAAATCCCTGCCCTGAAAACCTCAATGTTTAATACCTTCATATTGAGCTAAAAGTGTGGGAACTGATAGCAAAAATTGTGAAGTAGTCTGTGATGTAACTGTCCTGGGAGACTATTATAGCTTGATACTTTTCTGCTCAAATGGACATCTCTTGAGAAAAGGGACCTCTGCAGTTGTTTCTAAGCCTGAAACTCAGGATGGGGCTAAACAACAGTCCACCAGGTTGTGAACTTTGTGAAGGATTCATGCAATATTTTGTAGGGGTGGAAGGTCTCTGAAGGATCCAGAGAAAGTTTAGTCAGGAGTGGTGGGGAGGGTGCACTTTCGTAGCAGAGAATAGCAGTAAGCTGTAGACACGAGAAAGAAACCTTTCAGAGGAGAGAGGGAATATGTGTATGTAACCAGTACCACAGGAATAGTAGTTTTTGAGATAGTTGAGGAAATTTAGGCAGAAGAATGTATATTGGTACTTAGTTGTTTTGTCTAGTTCTGCATTTTGTGCGCTGGGTAAATAGTGGTTGGTTTGGGGGGCTCTTTTTAGAGACCCCAGAAGCTGGGGGCTATCTAGAAGCTGGGGGCTTAGGGAAGAGCAGGGTGGTGACTCCAGTCAGACACAGGCAGTCAGTGTACAATTGGTGGGATACGATACCATTGCCGAAGCAGGATCCGAAATCCTTCATAAAGAAAAGCATCAGAGCGGAGGTTGGGTGTGCTAGACTCCGGGCCAAGCAGGGAAGAGGGGACCAGCTGGCATGGTTGAAGCATGTTGGGGCTGTCATGGGGGCAGAGCAGAGCCAGCATTGCACTCGGGTGTCTTCGTGCCAAATTTGCTGACTCGTCCAGCTGCTGCACAGATGTGTTTATGCACTGGGGGCATGCAGGAGAGAGGGGGGTGCCTGATGCTTCCAAAGTACACAATCAAACAAAAAACACTGCTGGCCAGGGAGTATTATCTAAGATGGCAATAACTGTATGTGATAAAACCTGCATTCTGGTTTCTGAAGTAGAGTGGTGTTGCTGCTTGTCTCTGTCCTCTGTCATCACCAGTGGAACAATCCTTGTTTAGGGTCATCTGAACAGGGAACTAAAGAGAGCTCTGTGCCATGGCAACACCAGATGTGGGTCCATGTGAAAATGGGGATCCTTGCACATGAAAAAGGCAAGTTCCAGTTTGGAAGCAGAATGGAAGACCTTACAGATTTTTCCAGTCTGAAGCATGGAAGACACTGACAACAATTGTATGTGCTGACAGAAGTGCCCAGATTTTACATCGTCAGAGGAATAAAATCCTGAGATTTCTCCCTTCTCCCTGGAATGGCAAAGCTTCAAGCTGTTGTCTGGTGGAGATGGACTTGTAGGTCTGTACAGTTTGGGCATAGTGTGCAGCTGGGAGCAAGGTAGGCCCCCTGGGACACTTCATCAGAAGGAGAGGAAGCATTCACTGGGCACAGTGAGTCATGATCATCTTTATTGTCATGTTAGAGAGGGTATCTCTCTACTTGTTGTTACTGCCTTCAGGATACTGTGAAGAAATTAATGTTGTGATCATATGTGGGCACCCCTTTAGGGGCTTCCCACAGCCTACACCTCCTGCTTCCTCATCCTACCCAAGTAGGAGGCTTTTTAGCTACCTTCACAGTCACACTTTTTTCTGTTTTCAGCTCCCAGTTTTAAAGGAATTAGAATTCTCTGTGTGCACCTGAAGCCTTGGTGTCCATCTGTCCTGCAGTGTGAAAAGCCTTTGTGTTATCTGAGGATCAGTTAAGCTGCATTACCCAATGTGGTTCAACATCTCCTGTAATGATCTCCTCCATGGATGCCCAGTACAAATAAGAGAGATTGTTCTTGGACACTGAGATCCTGATACTACCGACATTTGATTCTGTAGACTATTTGTTTTCTATTGTTTAACTGGCTGTGGCTAGGAGGTAAGGGTGGTGTGTCAAAGACAAGACTTGGAAACTAAGATATGTGTGTGTGTGTGACCCGAAACGGAGCCTCTGAAAGCCCAGTCCCAAGTGCACTAAGCTGTGGGAGGAACTTCCCTTGAGTTCTTCAGGCTTTGAAGCAGATGTCTGAGGGTGAGATCTGCAGATAGCTCAGCTTCATGTTCAACTCTTATTGACTTCTGTACAGCAGAAGCAGATGCTGAAACTTTCCGCTGAAGAGAGGCTTTGAACTTTGTTGCTTGTTTCTCTCTGTTGTAAGAGTGGAAGAACACCTTCTTTTACCGGTGGATTTCAGCCAGATATCAGATATTCCATCATCTGGGAAAGCTTGCTGGACTCTTTGAGTTATTTATTAGCATGATACTAAATAAAACTTGTGATTACGTGCCTCACTGAAAATAGGAAGTTATTCAAATCCAATCCGTGTGGTTGGCTAAGAATTCATCAAAACGAAACAAAATGAAACAATTATTTTCCCGTTCATCATGCAAAACCCCAAGGTGTTATGAGGCAGTTTGGTTTGATAATGGAACAAAACATGACAAAGCCTTTATTTTGTTTCTGAATGCTGGCATATTCTTTTCTAGTACCTTCATAGAGTAACTAACAATTGAAGTAAAGTTCAGCTAACTTTTCTTTTTTGTTTCTGTGGAGCTTGTTCTTGTTATTCTCTGTCCATTTCAGTCATGCTGGAGTCATGGAAAACAGAGAGAAGTGATGCCCTGTGTTCTTGAGCACAGAAGTAACTCTGTTTTGCAACGTGTCTTGGCAGTGTTCGTACATCCCTCCCTGTGCAAGAGATGATCAGGAGAACTCTGAGAATGTCACGTACAAGCAGAAATACTGGAAAGAGAAAGTGGGTTCTCAACCATTTACATGCTATTTTAACCAGCACTTGAGGTGAGTAATCTTCATTTGGCTAGGCAGAAGTGCTTATGCATCTGTTTAACAGCTGTCCATTGGTTCTGTTTGAAAATATATATAAATGTATGCACATGTACACACACACCCGCCCCCCCCCGAGTGATGTGGTTTACCACACAGAGCTCAGTACAGAACTCTGCAAGACAATTCTGTTGATGAAAAGCTATACAGAAAGCACAGGAGTGTTTTTACCACTTGAAGTAAAAATACAAAATTCTGAGGAAAGTTTTCCTTAAACCACGCAATTTTTGTGCCAAAAAGCATCTTGGCTTTTAACACTCAGATGGCAAATTTCTGGTTTGGAAATTAACATTCCTTCCCTCCACTGAGAAGAAACCCTTCTGTATTCATGGAAGAAAAGGGAAGATCAGTAAATACTACAAACCAACTCAGGAATTGTGTTCACAGTGGATTAATGAATCACGTATGTGTAATAAGCATTCATAGAACTGTCAGATTTCATAAATGCTTGCAGAATAGAAAGTTGTGAGCTAAAGCATCTCCCCTTCTGTTTCAGTTCTTACTTTTACTGCTGATATTGATGTGACTTACAGGTGCATGAGGGTGACGTGTGGTTTCCTTCCTTCCATAAACAGACAGGGGAAGGAGTCCTTTTGCCTCTCTCTTTCTGATGGTGATATGCCAGGAAATAGAAGGTGATGTGGCAGCAGGAAGAGGTTAGTCCTACCCCACAAACACTTGGAAGTTAAACAGATAAGGGAGACCTAGGAGGGAATAGCTTGGGGCTTGCGGCTGCAATTCAGGGCTCAGTGTGGGAATATTGGCACCAGATATTCAAGTTCATTTAGACAAACAGGAGGCAAAGGGATGACAGTGTGTGCTAGGACCTCGAACGAATTGGGGAGCTGGAGCAGGGTGGCAGATGGAGAAATGCCTGACTCTCCTGTGGGTGGCCCACTGAGTGCCTTGAGGGCTTCAGGTTTATCCTAGACTGGCTAAAATTATTGTCCCCTCCCTGGAGAGACATAGTCAGCATGCCCAGGATGACAATCTGTTGCCCTGGTTAACTCTTTGTGGAGGGATCCCACTAGCGGTTTGTAGCAAAAATTGTTGTTCCTTATAGAGGGGAAAGAAGAACTGCTTACAGCACACATAGGTTAGGGCATCCTGTGTGGTGACATCAGATCTCTCAGGGACCTTCTCAGGGGGTCCTTTGGTCTACAAGGTGCCAATGCTTGGGTCTGCTAATCATGAACCCGGTTATAATTTTGGCCTCTCTGAACAGGCATGTGTTTCCAGTTCCCCACACTGCTGAGACCTGGGACCTGCAACAGCCACTGCCTGAGTGAGCAGGAGAATCAGAAGTATGGGATTGTCTGCAGGAGGAGTCATGGTTAGGATTCATCTGAACTGGTGTGGACAGGATGATGTGAAAATTAGCTTTTCTAGTCAGAGGAGAGAAACAGGAACCTTTTATCTTACCCCAAAATAAATGCCTAATATTGGTTAGATGCCAAGAGGTGTTTACTTATCTCCTGTAAATGAGCATAGGGTGGTAGGTGTCCAGAGCTGTGTGATCTGGTTCTCACATCACATTTAGGTGAAGCACAGACAAAATTTTTCTGAGGCTGCATACCATGTAGCATCTGCCATTCATGTAAGTTGACACTGAGGAATTGTGCAGCACTCAGGCAAGGTTTTTATCCTTAAAGTTGCTGAATTCTATACTGCTGAATGTTCTTGCCAGTGCAATGGTTGACTTGAAATGCTGCCTTTTGCTGATCATACAACAATTCGCATACAGCAGAAGACAGGCTCACTGCCAGAGATACTTGAAGGTAGTCTAAGCCAAAATGTGTACACCATTTATTTTCTACTGGAGATAGGAATGAACTTTGGGAGATAAGTTTTGCTGACTAGGAATGCGCATGTTAGGTATACTTTTAGAGCAACGATGACTAAGCAGCTTGTGAAGCAGTAAAAAACCCCATAATAAACTGAGGGAAAAGTCTGTTCATTTCAAAATAGAAGTGGGCATATTTTCTGTCAGTATTTTTTTCACTCTATGGATCAGCTAAGTCTTCTGTGTCAGTCTGTATAAAACATACAGAAAATAGTTCCTTAAAGAGAGTACTATTTGCAGTATTAATACTCTCCCTTTTGAAAAGGCAGAATAAAATTCTAGGTAAATATATAGGCAATGAGTTAACATCATCTATTCTTCATCAAACTTAATTCAGCTTCATTGTTAGAATTGTTGCTGCATGCAGAGTGTACTATCAGGTAACGTCTCCCTTCAGTTTGGTGGTGCACATTTCAATAGGCTACTGTGAAAAGAAAAAAAAGATGCAATTCTTACAGTTCAAAAGGGATGAGAAGCAGACTTGGCAATTTCAGTCATTCTTGGTTAATATAAATTGAGATGCCCAGCAAAACCAGCTCTCTGACATTCATCTTAGGGAACCTAAGAGCAGCTTAGCTTGGAGCTCAGTGCTTTACTGCAAATTCAGGTCTTGCTTTGCCACTGTAGGCACTTACTTTTAGTGTGCCACTCTTCTCTGGCTGGCAAGTTGCCAGTTGCATGGGAAAGTTGCTTTTCTGGACCTCTGGTGAAGGTGCCTGTGTGTTGATTTGATGATATTCCAATCTGAAGGAAGCCCTGCCCATCAGAAGAAAAAATCCAGTGTTTCAGAGCATAAAGTAAAGGACAAATTCAGATAAAGTTCTCAGGCTGTTGCCAAAGGTTTGAGAAGACACTGAGCTCTAGTGCTTCAGTGTTCTGAATTTCACACTGAGTGTCCAAGGGGATCTGTAGGTAGGACCACATGCAAACAAGTGTCACAGCTGCATGTCCTAAAATGGGACGTCTGGGGAAACAGGTGGGATGGGGTAGATCCTGTTGCTTTATTTCTTCATGTTCCAGGTCTAACTGACATCCACAACAAGAACAAAAAAAAGATACCAAGGTTGCTGTCAACTCAGACCACTCTGACTCAGAGACTTGAAGGGCAAACACTGTCTAGGGATTAGCAACAATCTGTATGTTGTTGGGGTACCCTGCAGGGTCCTTATTTATTGGGGAATAATTATGTGTAGAAGCTCAGACTGCTCAGGTAGTAGGGCTGCTCATCCATAAGTGCTGGAACATAAATCTTGGTTTGCCTGTTACTTCACACTTTTCTAAATTAATTCTGTCCAGTCAGAAGACAGTGTTGCTATTTCCTGTCCTTTCTTTTATTTTATCACCTGTGGAGAAGTGCTTGGGCCAGCAGGAAAGGACTTTACCGTTAGTAAGACACAGCATTTCCCCTGCATGCAGCCATCTAGGTGAGGATCTCTGCATCTTGCAACAATAAGGGAAAAAATGACTGCTTGTCAGAGCGAAGGGATGTGAACAACTGAGGGCAAAATAAGTGTATTGCAAACATCTTAATTCCAGATTGTTTGAATACAAAAAATATTTGTAAGATTTCCCTATCCCATGCCCCCACTTCTGTCAGCTTTTGTTGTGTAACATAAGTTGCACAGTATGGATCATAAATGATGACTGAAATGTTTGTGGGCCTGTAACTTTTTGGTCCTACGTAACTTTTTGGTAATTCCTGCACTGCAATTCTTCCCATGATGTTCCGTAACGGCTCTGAAGGTTCTAATGGAGGCCTGCTTCATCTGGTGTCTGTTTGAACTGCTTGGTAACACCTAACAGGGATGTGTTGTATAATGAAACAACTAATCCAATTAACCTGGCTCAGAGCTCCACAAGGGTCTAGCTCTGAGCACAAAGTCCTGCTAAAAATAAGTCCTGGTCTCACCTTTTAGCAATGAAAACAAAATCCCTTCCTCCTTGTCTGTTCAGTGAAAGCGAAAGCTGTATTTTCAGGGTTAAAATAGAGACTTCTTCAGGGATATGTTTTAGTTTGTTCATTCCTTTTTCACTCTGGGGCTGCCGCTGGGCAGTGATGGTGGTGCTGCACAATGGCCATCACTGTTTGCAGCAGAACGAGGTCCCAATGTCTAAGCAGGGTTTGCAAGTATTGTGGGTTTTTTCCCCCTTGGTCTCTTTCTTGTCTCTGCCACTGTTTTGTGCACAGATAACTGGTGTTAGGAGTTTGGGTGTATCCCCTGAAGAGGCTTTGCATTTACTCGAGACCTGAATGGCAGCATCGCTAGAAACAAGAGATTGCCCATAATCGACCTTGGGGGAATATGTGCAACCCCTTTGCCAACATCTTTGAACTGAAATGTTATACGAAAGTCACAGAGCAAAGATAGGTTTGTTAAATGCACTACACTTACAGGGACAAGGTGATATATTTAATTATATCTGGTGATATTTACAGGGAAAATAAACAAGTTTCCAGGCATGACATACCTCTTTTGGGTTCAACATGAGTGCCTCAGCACCAGGGGAGTGATGCTGTGGGGGCTTCCAGCAAAGACATGTCTTTACCATGAGAAGGTTTCCCCCAGGGACGCAGCACCTTTCCTTTTCTGTTTCCAAGCCAAACAACAAGCCTTCAGATTCTGGGAACAGGCACATCATCTTTAAAAAAGCAGCAAGAAAAAGTAAAACCTGAAGATTCAGTACATGCTAGCCTCACCATGCAAAATGAAAGCAGTTACATTATTGTGTTTCGAGTGTCACGGAATCCCAGAATATTCTGAGTTGGAAGGCATCCACAAGGATCATCAATTCCAGCTCTTGGCCCTGCACAGGACCACTCCAAGAAACACACCATGTGCCTGAGAGCATTGTCTGAATGCTTCTTGAACTCTGTCAGGCTTGGTACTGTGACCACTTCTCTGGGAAGCCTGTTCCAGCTTCCAATCACCCTCTGGGTTAAGAACCTTTTCCTAATATCCAACCTAAACCTCCCCTGACACAACTTCAGGCCATTCCCTTGGGTTCTGTCACTGGTCACCACAGAGAAGAGAGAAGCTTTGCCGAAATCCAAAAAGATCACATCACCTGGCTTCCCTTGATCAACTAGTTGGGTTATCTTGTCATAAAAGAAAATTTAGTTTGACAAGCAGGACTTTACCCTCATGAAGCCGTTCTGGCTCTGACCAATGACTCTGTTGTCCTTCAGGTGTTTTTCAATTACTCCCAGAATAATCTCCATAATTTTGCCAATAATTGAAATGAAACTGACAGGTCTGTTGTTTCCAGGGTCATCCTTCTTGCCCTTTTTGAAAACCGGGACAAAGTTAGGCAGCTTCCAGTCAACTGGGATCTCTCCAGATTCCCAGGACCATGGCAATTGGTCCAAATCTGTCCCACTATTTTTTTATGCCAAGAGTCAGTACCAAAAGGCTACATTCCAGAGGATTCCTGAGTTTTCCTGTGTGTCAGATCACCATCCAGAAGTGCTGCTCCCTCCTCTTGACTAAAGAAGGGCATTTAATATCTTAATCGTGGTGCCAGTAGCCATTTATTGAAGTATTTTTGGAGGACTCAGTCATGTCTTGATGCATTGTCTGAAAAGATGTTGTGCGCAGTCGACAATGAGTCACTGCACACCTTCTGCCATATAAGAATTGCACAGGGACTCTTGCTGAAGCTAAGAATAGCAATAATACCCACCTGAACCAAAACCTCATCTTGAGGCTTAATTAAAGGCCTCTGTCTTTGACTCTTTTCCAAAAGGGAAATTCTTTTAAATTACTAAGCTACAGTCACACCTATAATGAGTGTTTGGCATCCATTGCTGCTAGCTCTGGTACGTGTTTTCAAAAACATTTAGGAATCTGTCAAAAAGATACCTTGCTTTCCCCAATCACACTTTCTTTCATTTAACTGAATGCAATTTTCTAGGTTTTCTTCTTGCCCCTTATTTTTGAAATGTTTGATTAGTATCTGCTTCAAAAAAAACAACTTAAAACTCAATGTCAATTGTAAGCTGAAAGTTGTGAAGATTGAGTGCTGTCTACTTATGGCCTCCTTGCCAACTAGCACTCTGTTATGCACAGATGATGACACAGTAAATATGAGGGAAGCAGTATTATACGTCTTGTGAAAGGATTTTTCTGTTCAGGTGTTGTCATTCATATGGCATAGGCTGGTGAGTTTGTGCCTGTAAAGTTATTACTACTTCATTCAATTTATAGTCTCCACCTGTGCCTACCTATATATTTGGAGGATTATGGTTAAGTAGACTTCATGCACTCCTCTATTGAATACACCTGGGGTTCTTTTGACAATTTTTTATGTTGCTGAATTTCAACTTCTTTATAGCTGAGCTGCTCATAATCAGTCTTATTCTGCTCCTTACTACACAAACAAAGAGAGAGATGCATGGTGTCAGCCTTGGGGACTTGCAGGCTGGCACAGTGCAGAGGATCCTTCACATAGCAATTTTGGGTAAGAGATCCCCAAATACAAATCCAGGTGGAATTAAATCTGGGATAAGTTGTAGCTTGACAGTCTAGCTCCATTAACTCCGTAAGGATGGATTAAACTCCATAGATTTGCAAACATCCATAAATTAACCTCTCAGTGAAAGAATAAGAGGTTCTTCTTTCGTCTATGGAGAATGCTTTCTTGGTGCTGCTTTCTGATCAGGATAAAGCTATCGTGGGAGAGACAGCACAGTCATTGAGCAGGTATCTGCTTCCATGTGCCACTGTGTTAGAAGAGCTTAATTCCCAGGACCTGGCTGGATGAGCCTGGGTTGGCAGGGTTTTAGGCTGCGGGGTTTGTTGCTCCAAGGAGTGTCAGATAGCATTGACAAAGCAACACGTGATGGGAGAGTTTGATGTAGATGAGGACCAACATGAGTCAAGGCTATAGATATTTTCCTAATTAGAGAAAGTTTGTTTCTTTCCTTTGTAGGTAATTTTCCAGGGACTGCATGTGTCTGGCTTTAGATGGGAAAGCAGGAACGAAATGCGAATGCCATGAGACTGATTTAGTAACTGTTAAACTGCAAGGAGAGCAGAAAGAGCCAGAGCTGAGGAAAACCTGGCATCAGATTTCCCAACCGACTTCCCAGACTTGGAAGAGGTGGATGGACAACTGATATTTCAGACACGTGGCACAGCTAAATTTCTGAATATCTTAAGATGCTTCCTCCTTGCTATTAGCTTTTTCCCTCCATTTCCCTTGGAAATGCATAAACCTGTCACAGACCCAACCATGACTGTGTGTTAGATGCTGTTGATGGAGGCATGGAGGTTCAAACGTTTGGGGGAGGCTCCCCAAAATGTCCCTGTAGGAGCCTACTCAGACTCTGCTGTTTGCAGCACCAAATCACAGCTTATTGTTGAAATAGCCACTGCTGGGAAGGAGCTGAGTCGAGAGCCTTGGCCACACTGGGGCAGGCTGTCATCCTCCTGGGGATAGACTCTGTGCAGACTCCTGCCTGCCAGTGCAGCTGGGCTAGCCTGGGCCACCAGCAGTTCAGGGCTGAGGACAGGGACTGGCTCTGCACCCAAACCACAGCCAGGGCTTACTTCAGCAGGAGCCTTCATGAACACATCAGCACTCCAAGCTAAAAGGGAAGCTTTGATTACACTTAACCCATTGCACAGGGCTTGATGACATTTGAGCTAGACATGTATAAATGCTGCCTGGTATTATGTTTTTGTTAGAGTGGTTTTTCCAATCCACAGTCAGTGTGATACTGTATCTCTCACAGCTCTTTGTGATGACCACAACCCCTGGAAGACCTGAAGTACCAACCGCCCCCTTTTTTTTTTTAATCCAGACAAACTTGTTAGCCTGTAAACACTGCAAGTGGAAAGCTCTTACAGCCCACCACAAGTGCTGGTGATAAACAGGCAAACGAAAGCAGTGAATGAAATAGTCCACTTAATCATTTTCTAACATTGTAGCAAATAAAACACCTTTACATGGTAGATGATTTCCACTAATGATGAGCTGATGATATTGAGTTGATTTATATTTTCTCCATTTTCTGTTCCTCCTCTTCACAGGCCAGATGATGTGATGCTGAAGCGCACCCATGATGAGACTGTCCTCTTGCACTGCTTCCTCTGGCCTGTGGTGACATTCCTGGTTGGAGTCCTCATTGTGGTCCTGACCATCTGTGCCAAGAGCTTGGCTGTCAAGGCAGAGGCAATACAAAAGAAGAAGCATTTGTGAGTGGCAGGGCTGCTGATGAAAAAGAAATATCTGCAAGAAGGTCTCAAGTGGGGAAACTTGACACACTTGCAAGTCTGCGGGGCACCCTTTGCCTCCTTCCAGGGTCTGATCTGATGGTGGAGTTGCTCTTGCCTCAGGATTGTTCTTAGAAGACTGCCCCATGAAATGCCAGCTAATTGCTTCTTCTGCTATGACAGTAAATAAGTATATTCTACCAAAAAAAAAATCTACACTGCACCGAATATGCTGTGTGCTGTCAGTGCTGAACTGCAGCTACCCAAGTCCTAGTGGAATTGAGACAGTTTATAAAACTCCCTGATGATGCTCATTTCATCTCTACAAAGTGATCTTTGCTAATGTTTAATATTAAATATTTAAAATATTTACTTTAGATAGACCTTATTTTCAAAATAATAAAATTTGATTGTTTTGGGGTTTTTAACCTTTGGAATTTTTTTTTATTTAAAAGGAAAAGCTTTAAGACAAACATAAAACTGTGCTGATTTGGCTTTTTTTTCCCACTGTGTAGAACTTAATTTTAAAATTCAAACTTTAACTTCTGTCTAGACTAAGTCTTTCATCATCACCTGTTCATTTTGATGAAATGTAGAAATCTCTCAAAAGTACTTCTCAAAAAAATGAAACTATTATTGGAAAAATGATTAAATGCTGGATCTAATTTTATTGCCTCAGTGGTATTCAGTCCCTACAGTTGTTCTTGTCCCCTCTCAGATACGCTCTTCATGAATGCTCTCAGGCTGTAAGCAGCAGGAATTTTACATTAGTAGTTTTACATGAATATATTTTACTAGCATCTTCCCCCAAAAACGGAGTGCCTGAGCATGTGCTGAGGAGAGCCTGTGAGCCATGGTGTGATCCACCTCACCAGAACCCAGGAATGGCCAGGGAAGACATCAGCTCCTTGTAGGGCTCTGAGTGCTGCTGAACTGCCCATCCCAGTCACACCAGCTCCATGAAGGCTCCCATCCAGGGGATGCTCCAGAAAATGCAAGGCAATTTGGGCACGTAATCTTGCTGAGTCTCCTTTCTCTGCTTGCTCCAGGTCCTCACTGTGTATGATTGGAGTACCAGCTCTCGTCCACTTGCTCATTGCAGAGATTTCCATATTTCTGGCAGTTTCCCTGGGCACAATTTTTGCATACCATAGTCAGGGGCTGAGGCCAGAGTAGCTTCATGGCGCACGTCCATACCCCCACAGGGCTGGACCCCCCTGGGACCAGCTGTGCAGCTTTGCAAGGCTGAAGCGCAGCAGAGAAGAAAAGCCATGTGGCTCAGTCAGGAAAATGAGTGATTACTGGCAAAGCATTTTAATCTACATTAACAATTCTGCAATTCTAAACATACTGTGCATTCTACTAATCTCTGATATTCTTAGTATTATGTTTAAATACCTTGTGTTTCGTTGTGATTTTAACACTTAACAGAGTATTTCCTGAGGATGAGAAAAGTGCTAGATTTGAAAGCCTGAAAGCTTAGTTGGCACAGTGACAAACCTGCTTGTATTGCCCAGTGTCCTTTTCAGATGAATTGTATTGTGTGTTTTTCAACTGATTTCCATGAGGCTTCTTGTACACATTGTGGTTTCCAGTGATGAGGGTGATATATGGCAGGGGCAGCAGGTGACTGGAGGTCATTCCCAGCCCCCCTTCTTACTTGCTATGTGACTTTTGGAGAGTCCTCTGGTCTGGGTCCACACTGGGATAGCTGTTCCTTCAAAGGAATTTAAGGAAATATGCTTGCAGAGGTAGGAACTTGATGCTTCTTGGCATGTTACTCCACATGAAAGATCCAATTCATGCTGGTTGCACATGTTCAAGCACCTCCAGTCCCATGGATGAAAAACAGTTCTTGTGAGAAGAATTTCCAATTCTCTGTGTTAAACATCACCCCTTTGGAGATGCCTGTTGCCAGGCTCAAACAGATAACCTCTGTCTCAGCCTGCTGAGAAATATAGTGCTGGATATTCAGGGTGAAGAGAGGCTGTGAACTCAGCCTGTCAGAGGAAAGCCTACCAACTTCTGGAAGGGCTGTTCTGCAGAGGGCACTCTTTCATTTCACTTGTATTTTCAAGTTCACTTGCAAGCAAGGCCACTGCTTGCATCCTCTGCTATTCTCTTGCCTCAGCAACCCACAGAAACACTGCATCGTGTGTCTGATTCAGGGGGTTAGTTACTATTTTTTATACATATGTATTACTTTTCCACACTATGCAAACCACAGAAAGCTGCCACTGTGGGGTGGTTTGGTTACCTGGCTAAGGTGATGGCAAGTTCTCCTTGTCTATTTCTGCATGGTAGCTTCTTACAGTTAAGGAGAATAACCCTGATTTTCTGCATACATCCATCCCTTGTTTTCCTGAGGGAGAAGGACATACACAGTGACACAGATTCATCATGAAATTTTAAACCAGTACCTTGGGGCTCGCAAATCCAGATTAATAAAATCCGCTCTAGCTTTGCTCCAGAAGCTTTTGTGACTGAATCGTACAGCTGGTTCTCTGAGCAAAAGGCAAGAAGCAAATTGAGCTGATGCAACTCTCTTGATTTGCAATCATATATCTAAATCTGCTGGAAATGTCATTTGCAAAGGCCTCTGGAAGAAGTAATGGTTGCAGAGATGATACTAAATTATTTTGCAGAAAGATTACCATCCCAAGTTAAACATCTAAATCGGTATGCAAAGATAGGCAGTATGCAAAGACTGGCATGGCAGTGTGTGATACTAAGGGGAAAAAAATCCTAAAATTCACTTTTCTGTCCCAACCTGCCCCTCACTGATTTAGAAACATATTTGTAATCCCTGTACTTGGTTGTGGAAGCTGGGGATTTCCTTCTAGTGGATTATTCACTGATTTCCTCCTTGGCTTTGCAGATTTCCAGTTTTGGTGGTGTATTCTCTGAAACTTATTTGCAGCCAGAGCGGCTACTTTTCCCAGAGCCATCTGCAGGCTCAATTTTTGTGTTTTATTCAGTATTTGTATGCCACTGCACTGAGGAATTTTCTTCTCTCATGCTATCTACTGCTCTGCTTTAGTAAGACCTGCCTTCTCTTTCATGCAGTGCAATTACATCAATTTGTTTGTGTGGTATCTTTTTCTGTTAGCTTCTTAGGCTCATTTTAAAAGTCAAAGTAATAGGAACATTTTTTTGTTGCATTTCCCCTGCTTTTTGTGTTTTGGTGTTTGCCAGTAACAGACAAGATTTCACAACGTTAGAAAATTTAGCTACTGAATGAAGAGCTTAATTCAATGCTCGGAGTAGATGAGGGATGTCATGGAAGTATCCAGGGACATTTTAAAAGACCATTACCCACAATTTCTGCTATAAATGTAACCCTATGATAGAGGTCCAGCACAGAGTGCTGGATTTTAAGGACATTTATAAACTGAGCTCTTCAGTAGGTGCCGGAGAACGAAAGTTGGAAAGTGCAGTGGAAAGGTAACCCAGGTCTCAGTTTCCAGACTTGTGCTTCCAGGTGTGTTTTAAGGGATTTGTCCTAGAACAGAACAAAGATGTCTGTGAGGCATGAGAGTGCAGGGCTCTCCATGGATCGGCCGCCTTGTCTCAGCCTGCCCCTGACCACCCTCGCCCTGGTGATGGTGTCCGTGGGGTTTCCCTGCCTGCAATTTGCTTCTGGGAGCCCTCATTCCTGACCCAGGGCTGCAGTGTCGTGCCCACAGGAGCAGGTGTGTCTACAGAGGGCTATCATGCATCTGAGCTCATTTCACACACTACATGAAAGAATCTGTCAAGCATGTGTTATCCAGTCAGAGTCCATCTGGGAAATGTGAAAGAGGAAACATTGGTCAGTGTTTAAAACCCTTTAATAAGTAAGGTTGTAGGGCTTAAGTGTTCTTGAGGAAGTGTCTAATGCAGTTTGCTAGGGGTTTGGGCCTTACTTGAAAAATTAAACCTATTCAAGACTCGCAGTGGGTCTGGTCTGATGGCAGGACTGTGTGGATTGCCTGTGAACAGAAGGAATGTGCTGTGCAAGCCTCTTTGCTCAGCATTGCAAATATGGGAGCTACCTGCTGAATTGGGTTTCTGCAAACTTAAGCCTAAATGGCCAAAGTATTTTAAAGCCAAGAACAAACATGTGGAAGAGGAGACATCCACAACAGTGTCTATTAAGAAAAGAAAAACACTCAGGCCATGGCTTATGTTTAGATAATCAAATGAAAGGAACCACAGCTGAATTTCTAATTATGGCACCTATAGTATCATGCAAATACGGTCTTTCAATCCTGGGCAGAAATCTTGTAGCAAGAGTTATTGAAAAATCAACTGATTTCTGTGTGTGGGTTCTCTGAGAATCAAAGGCTATTTGTTTTGCGTTTTTTTCCCTCGGCATAGGACAGCTGCTATTCCTCCATTGTCTTTCAATCAGAAACCAACCTCTTCCCTTTCTGGCATCTTAAGAGGCTGCTATGCTGATCTGTCAAGCTAACAGTCTTTGCTGCAGAGAGCATGAGCAGGAAAACCTCCAAGGGAATATGTGTGCAATTAATCATACTGCCTTGTCAGGTCACAGAACCTCTGAATGAATCGACCCCGAAGTTTAATATTTGAGAGTCTGTGCAATTCTTGTTCTGGTTTGATATGGTGGTGCGAATGCTGCCATTGCTTGCACAATGTTTAATTCACATCTCTATGGTGGTTTAATGGTTTGAAGCATCATAAGCCGAAAAATCACTTTGCATGCCTTAGATGCATGGCTGGAGATGCTATACATATTAAAAAAAAAAAAAGAATAGACAATTACAGTATATAGCTGTAATTTGTATGTAAAATTTTATTATAAAATACTTTTGGCATAGCTGTAAAATTTCATACACACCTACAATACACAATCTCCAAACAGCACATATAGCAATCCACCAGAAATGTCTCCCAGAAATGCAGTAGTTTTGATATTGCATTTAAAAAAAAAAAGCCATCTCTCTGTGATCTAATTTAATGAGCTAGTGGAGTGTCAAACATCACTTTTCATAACATAACTACTTCATAACTTTTCAGCTAGCATAAGGTTTATCTCTATTTTTATTTGCATGCCAATTGTCATTCACCAAAAGCTGTTGGAAAAAATCAACCAGTAAGCTCTTTCGTATAATTGCTTGTTCTGCAACTGAGAGTTTCTGGACAAAATACTTCAACTATTTGGATCCCATATAGCAGGATCAATTAAAAAAGAGATGTGAGCAGCTAATATTTTGTTTCAAAAGCCCCAAAGAGCCAACTTTTAGGCCATTTTCATTCCCTCAATATAGGATTAGGGCAAATTCAGACTTCAGACAAAGAGCAATTTCTGATCATGCCTGTCAGAACATGTGCCAGTATTGAAGCCTGTGTCTTTTCATTGTTTGCAAGGCTGGATTTC